ACAGCTTAAAATGCGTGTTTAAAAAATAGACTGAGCTTGAAATGCATGTTTATGAAAATGGAAGCAGCTTAAAATGCGTGTTTAAAAAATAGACTGAGCTTGAAATGCATGTTTATGAAAATGGAGACAGCTTAAAATGAGTGTTTAAAAAATAGACTGAGCTTGAAATGCATGTTTATGAAAATGGAAACAGCTTAAAATGCGTGTTTAAAAAATAGACTGAGCTTGAAATGAGTGTTTATGAAATGGACACAGCTTAAAATGCGTGCTCAAAAAATAGGCTAAGCTTGAAATGCGTTTTAAGAAAATGGACACAGCTTAAAATGTTTGTTTAAAAAATAGACTGAGCTTGAAATACGTGTTTAAGGAAATGTACAGTGATAAAAAAAAAACGGACCATCCTGAATAACTTTTGATCTAATTATCAGATCTTTACGTTCCAGGACAGATTCTTAATGGTTTGAAAGGGATGACCTCAAATAAGCTAATTATTTAGCGGAGATGATGTTTTAAGTCAGACACAGAAACGTACTCTCTATGAATAAACGTACCTTTTTTCAACGGATTCGGATTTCTGACCCCCAAAATATAGGGGGGTAGCCGCAATCTGGGAAATATGATCCCTATAGTTTGGTCAGGAGAGCAGTCCAAAATTTGGCCCCTTAATATTAATTTTACTTTTTTCCGTATCTCGCTATATCTAGAGAACTTTCTTAAGCGAATTGAAAATTTTTTGCACGCAATTATAAAATTTATTTATGCGCGCAAAAAAGAATTTTTAGTAAATATTTACTATTTTTTATTATTTTATTAAATATTAGTCGAAAGAAATTTAAATTGTAAGGTGCATTTGCATCGTTTTTAAAGAATATAATTTTACATGGAAGGGAAATCGGTTGAATAGTTTCTGAGAAATCGAATTTCAAAAATGTATTTTAAAAATGCGATTTCTCATGAACAGTTTGAATAATTTCTTTCAAAAGTCGTATTTGCCATGTAAAATTAAATTCTTTAAAATAATGTTATAAAACAGTATACCTTACTATTCAAAAAATTATTTTACCGCTCCAGTTTCTTGTGACTATTTGGATTAGAAAAACGAAAATTTTTGCAGCGTATGGGTAAATATTAAAAACAGAGAAATTCTGTATTTATCATTTAACAGTTTTTCTGTAAAAAATGTAACTATTTTTGTAGAATCCAGTTATTTTTTCAGAGTAGCAATCAATATCAATATATTGAACTGGCATTTAATCTGCTGATCAGCATTTTCAGCCAGCTCAAACTGAAGGAAGTGGTAGTGACTAACATTAATATAGTAGAAAAATTTTTTTTTATCATAACAGGGTGATTGGGTAGAAATATTTATAGATATATCAGAGCAATCATCCCTAATGAGATGTTATTACACATTATTAGCTTATCTATTGATTGTTGGCTTCAATCTATTGATCGGATTGGCATTTAATGTATAGATCGGATTTAACCTATTGCTTAGCATTTGACTTAATGATTAGCATTTTCAGTCAGTTCTAACTGAAAGAAGATTACTTAAGATTAGTGATTAACATTAATATAATAAAAAAATATATTTTCTTAAAAATCTAACATAACAGAGTGAGTGAGAGAAATATTTGTCGAAACAATAAAGCTTTAATTTCTAATGATTGCCAATTTAGCAGATTTCATATAACTAAATGCATTTTAAAAAAAAATAATTATTTTTTACAGACTCAGAACTTGCTATACTTTTTTACCTCTTATGCCCAATCTATAGATCAAAACTCTAGAAAGTCTATCATATTCAATCAATAAACCCAATGAATTATATAGTTACAGCACAGTTATTATAAAAACTGTTTATTTAAACATAAAAACTGTACTTAAAGTTAATTAGTTAGCCTCCTCGCATTAATAGTAAAGTTCTTAAGTTACACTGGTGTGCAAAACTTAAGAAACAAGTGGTTTTTCGGCCACAGCTCCCCAAAAAAGTATAAGATAGCAACGAAATTGCAGTATAATACGTAATTCACGTAATTCAGTAGAAAGATTATTTGTATGCAAATTTTAGAAATAAAACGTCGTAGGTGATGTAAGTGTACCTAAACCTTGTGGGTCGGCGGGCGCATGTCAAAGCTGTGATAAAAGGATGAAGAGCACCGTAGTTAAAGACATTCGCTGCTAGTGCAAGTGATTTGTTTTGTGAAACATGTCTTCAAGAAATCATTTAGACGACTTTACTCGAGGAAGAATGATTGGGAAGCTTGAGGAGGGGCGTAGTGTGACCAGTGTCGCCGAAGAGTTCGGGATCAACAAAAGTGTTGTTTCTCGTGCTTGGAATGCCTTTAAAACTACTGGTACAGCTGTTCGGAAGGTTGGTGGTGGCCGTCCAAGGAAAACAACACCAAGAGATGACCGTTACATTGTCCTCCAGGCGAAAAGAAACCGTTTTCAGTCAGCGAGCGCCATATCTCAGCAACTGTGCACAGCCACAGGACGACAAGTATCAAGATTTACAGTGGCCAGACGCCTCCACAAAGGTGGCTTATTTGCTAGACGTCCTGAACGCTGCATACCTTTAAAAGTTAGCCATCGGCGGCACCGTTTAGAGTGGTGCAGAGAACACGAAACCTGGACACCTCATCAATGGAGTCGCGTCCTCTTCACAGATGAGAGTCGTTTTAGTGCTACAAGCGATTCTCAACGTCAGTTGATCTGGAGAGAGGTTGGAGCTCGATTTCATCCCAATAACATCGCGGAAAGAGATCGTTACGGTGGTCCTGGAGTTGTCGTCTGGGGTGGCATTATGTTGAACGGGCGGACTGAGCTTCAGATCTTCGACCGAGGTTCTGTAACTGGAGACCGCTACTGCAATGAGGTAATCCTACCCAATGTGCGTCTGTTCCGAGAGGCCATTGAACCAGACTTAATTTTTATGGATGACAATGCCCGGCCACACCGTACTGCTAATGTTCAAGAGCTACTGGAAAGTGAAGATATCACACGAATAGATAGGCTATCTTACTCTCCAGATCTAAATCCCATAGAGCATGTGTGGGATGCATTAGGGAGACGTTTTGCGACACGACAGTATCCTCTTGGTAACACCCATCAGTTGAAAGATGCGTTAAAGGAGGAATGGAGACGTTTACCCCAAGAACTCCTGGATAATCTGGTGCTTAGCATGGAGAGACGATGTCAAGCAACAATTACAGTAAGGGGAGGGCATATCCCATACTAGGGAACATCTGCCAGTTGTACTTACGCTTCTTCACGCAATCATGTGTAACGCCACTATATGTCAAATAAAGCCTTTTTTTGTTCCATACCCTACTTTAAGCTTTGTATTCATTTCTGTGCCATTATTCTTTTATCCTCGTTTAAGTACAAAATAATGTACATCATATTCAAATTTCATGTCAATCGGATGATTTCTTGTAGAGTTATGACAAAAAGCGCACTTGTTGCTTAAGTTTTGCACACCAGTGTAATTTAGTGAGTACAAAAATAATTAAACTAATGTCATTCAATTAAATAAATTAATTCATTTGATGATTAAAAATCATGCAATTACAATAATGAAAATAAACCTCCATAAATTTGTTTGAATTTTATTTTTCTATTTGCAATAGCACCCGTGATAGATACAGATCTTTTTGATGGTGATATGATGGGAGTTGAAAGAATGCTCGTAAGTAGACTTCGATAGTGTTCTTCTAGCCTTTTTTTTCTGTTTTTAATGAGTCCAAATATCTGTCTTCAGCTCCCATAAAAAATCATTAAAATCGTGAAGAAAAAAATAACCACCATAAAATAATTTTTTCCCCATATCGATTAAAAATATCAAAAGACTTTCTCTTGTTTATTTTTATAAAATTCTATTTTACGCGATTATAGAGAAAGCTTAAAATATCTAAAATCTGAGCTTATTATTCAATGAAAAACAAACTCGTTTAATATATCCGCATGTCTACCTCGTTCACCAGGAGTTGGCACTTGGCTCCGCCTTCATCACGTGGCATACGACGATACTATTTCGCTATTTTCGGGAGAAGGTTGTGAGCAATCCTGAACAAGGTTGCTATTTGGCTATCGTAGGGCAAAAATATTTATTTCGTAACCCTTATGTGCCTTTTTTGAACATAAAATGTTTTATAAATTTGATGATATACCGTCTCTCTTTTGAGTGAATAGTTTGTCCTTTTGGATACATTTTTCTGGGAAAACAGCAGTTTTTAAATTTAAAATATATTTAATTAACTAGAGAAACGAAAGGTATAATAGCAGATGATAAAGCGAAGTAAGTGACTGAAGAAGAATTCACTGTTTGTGTTTGGCGCGCATTCAGGGTTGTCTCAATTTCAAACGTGGATATGTTTCTTTTTTTTACTCCCGCGCTGAAATGAACTATGCGTCCGAGGAGGAGAAGCCAAGTGCCAACTCTTGGTGAGCGAACTATAGTAGTATTAGATCTACAATTAACTCTTTTTAGAACTAATTGTTGCATCTGAGTTGTTTAACTACCATTTTCAAGTGTACTAAAACGGCAGCATATAATGTACTTTAGGTAAAGATGGAGGGCCAGTAAAGCCTCTGAAAGTTACAGTAATAAATTTAAGCACATTTACATTTTGTAGTTTATGAACCTGTTACCATTTCTTAGCTCAGCGAGAGAGCAATTCTAACACCACAAAACGATAAGGCAGCATCTTAAGTTATAACTTACTGTTGAAATAATTAATTATGTAAATCATATGTCTTCGAGATCGACTTCGAAAATGCAGCAAATTATTCTATGGAATTTCTCAACACTCTTTATCCATCTGGTATGCCACTACATAATTTGATTTTGATTCTCCTATCATTTTGCTACGAAATTTACATGCTCTGAAACTCTGCAACGGAATTAAACTTCAAATTACGCCCATCAAAAAAAAAAAAAAAAAAAAAAAAAAAAAAAAAAAAAAACATAATCGAAGCAGTGATATTTAACGTTTTTGCTTACGGCTTGGACAACATGTGAACCACATGTGCTGATACAGCATGGTAAACCACGAGTAAAGGGTTGACAGTTATGGAAAAGGCGAAACAGTCTATTCATTCCTAAGATTCCCCTTATTTCATCAGACTTGTCACTTCAGTATAATAGACTAAAGTTTCCAGTAAAGTCTATTCAGCCATGGCAATTAACAGAGCTCAAAAAACAGTTTCACCGGCAAGTTGGGGTGGATCTAAGAAACGATTGCTTCTTTCACTAACTAAGTTGCATGTAGCAATGTAGTCTGTTCAAAGGTGAGCTCGGTAAACAATATATATATATATATA